CCTCTTGTGTGACGCGAGTGCAGCATATTTGTCCGTCTAGAAAATGCGCTGAATATGCGTTCTGTGCAGCAACTGCGCGTCTCGTGGGCTAGACTAACAAAACATTAAACTACAACGTCACTTACATCATCATTGCATCTCGTGCTCCACTGATGACGCTCCCTAACGCACACCTAACATTCGATTGTACTATTTTTGCATTCAAATGGAAATGTTTATTTTAAATTCAACTAATATTCATTTTTTTTATTCACAATCTCCTCATCACAGGCAGGCACAGCACTCATGTTCGTGTTTGTGTGTGCTGTCTGCATCACTCATAGCATGTGCCTATATCGAAATGTTTTTATATCGTTATCGAAGAAGGTGTACCATCGAAAAATATCGATACCGTTTTATCGCCCAGGCCTAGTTTTTGAATTCTGGCTTAAAAAAATATGGGCGGTCATCTTGGATGCCAACATTTTATTGTGAACCCCTTCACCACCACAGAAATTATAAATGTAAAAAACAGGGTACAACAATGCTATGTTATTTGATCCAAAACAGAAAAATACAGTAATATTGTTTGTTTTTTTTCAATTTAAAATAACTCTTTTCTATTTGAATATATTTGAGACCTCGAGTTTAGGTAGTTTTTAGGTAGTATTTTGAACGAAATGAGATAATAAATTAATTCATGATTGAATAAATGAATATATGAATGAAACAGTAAGTAAATATGCTCGACTGAATAACACAGATTTCCAATTTACTAATCATTAAAATGCTGTCAACTGTTTATTCTTCCACGCTAATATAACATAATATTGAAGTCACAATAAGAGCAAACATAAATATATGATCAACTCTAACGTAATGGCTGACCGAATAGAGAGCCTAACGTTAACGTTACATCCATATTCAAGCATCACCACCTCATTCAAGCGGTCACAATAAAATGATTCATCCACTCATTTATAACGTCATGTATACATATATAGTGTCAGAGTTAAACTTGTGGATAAAGAGAAAAACGGATATGTAAAAGATAAATGTTCTTACCGTGCTTGACGTCTTCAGTAAGAGATCTGTTCACATTCGCGAGGATGATCAGACCTGCTACGTGACGTCACGCCTGCTGCTGCCGTTACAGGGTCACGTGATTTTTTTCCGACGTTGCCAAATGCCACAGGACATTTTTAGGCATTTTAGCGTTATGTATTGTTATTTTTTTTTTTAACTATAAACAATGTTTATGTATGGTTTAGACTTATTAGAGACTTGTGAGTCTATTATTTATTTATTTATTTATTATTTGTTTGTTTGTCCTTAAAAAGTGTTTATCAATTAAAACCAATACTACTACTTTTGGAAGCAAGTTCTTAATTCCGTAGTAAATTGCACTGGTAAAACCAGTGGTTAAGGGGACAATGTGAATTAGCTACCATTACTAAAATTATGTAGGAACATGATTTCACATCTTAAAATTTTTTTTCAATTTAAAATAACTCTTTTCTATTTGAATATATTTTAAAATGTAATTTATTCTTGTGATGCAAAGCTGAATTTTCAGCATTAAAATCTGGCCTTCAGTGTTTTTTTCAAATATTGTAGATTTATGTGGCAAATGATTGCTAAAATTACCAAATATATTTTGGGATAAACGTCTATTCATTTTCAGGTTTGTTCAACATAATTAAATTAACAGTTTTCCTTGATGTGTGTTTTTAGCCCCATAAATAAAAATGCATAGCCTTAGTTATTTATGACATTACATGTACATTTTTTCTTACTTACTTCCTATTTTGGTATTTAACCTAAAGGTTCTGTAGGTGATGGTTTGGAATAGTACACATAATAATGTGTTCTTTCTAGCTAACAGATATCACATGACTTTTTCCACCATTTTTACCCAATCAGAGAACTAGCTGCAGCTGTCAGTCATTCTGAGGAGTCAGGACTGTCACTGGTCTTGCTGAATTTGTTTGTGCATGTATTGATCCACTCACTGAGCTTCCTGTCCATCTCCTCACAACGTCTCACTTCATTCACAAACTTCCTCTGGAACACGTTCACATCAGGGTTGAGCTGAAAGAAAGAGGTTTGAACTCATTATCAGCATATAATATAGAGGAGAGAGCGGGAAGAGAGAGAAAGCAAGCTGTATCTACTCACATCTCTGAACTGCACCATTCCCAGCTCTCCCAGTTCACTGACGCAGCAGTAGGCCGCTTCAGACTGGAGGAAGAGCTGGGCCAGAGTCATCTCCTCACTGCGGAACAACTCCCCCATGATGCTGCAGGCCACAGGAACTCACCCACGGCTCAGAAATCAATCCCACTGGATGCTACTGGTCAGTCTGGAGGAAAGACAGATAGATAGATACATTATTTACATCAATCCCATTATAACCTTTATAACACATTTATGGGTAATACTTCAAATGTATTATTATAAACATCAGCAGTTAAAAAGTGTATAAAGTGTTATATATAATTTGTCTAATTTATTTAATATATAATTTATATATTATAGAAACCGGCTTCATCTCCTAATGTGAGAGTCTCTGAGTCTGAGCTGGGCTCAGCATCACTCGCATCCCAAAGAGCCGATTGGCTGAAAGCTCAGCATCCCTTCTGACTGGCTGATGAACTCAACATCCCTGTATCTCTAAGAGCTGATTGGCCAAGAAGCTCAACAACCCTCGCATCACTGAGAGCTGATTGGCTGATGGCTCAACATCTCACATCTCTGCCGCACTGCCCCTTCAGCTCTGAAGGGCGCCATTACGCGCTCTTCTCTCTATCTACCCCGTGCCAACAATAATTTTATCAGAGTATTATCACATTATTTAATATACTAACAAACTGAAGCAAAAAACGAAACATCTAACACACGAATATTTATTTGTAAGATGTTCATTTTTGTTTAATAGGGCTACAGCGAATCATTCTGGCATAATCCTAATAATGAATATAATTAGACCACTTAAGAGACCTCGAGTTTAGGTAGTTTTTAGGTAGTATTTTGAACGAAATGAGATAATAAATTAATTCATGATTGAATAAATGAATATATGAATGAAACAGTAAGTAAATATGCTCGACTGAATAACACAGATTTCCAATTTACTAATCATTAAAATGCTGTCAACTGTTTATTCTTCCACGCTAATATAACATAATATTGAAGTCACAATAAGAGCAAACATAAATATATGATCAACTCTAACGTAATGGCTGACCGAATAGAGAGCCTAACGTTAACGTTACATCCACATTAGTACCTTTATGGATCTTGAAAGTTTGGGTGGCGTTGCTGTCAATGGAGGCCTCTCTGAGCCATCGGATTTGATCAAAAATATCTTAATTTGTGTTCTGAAGATGAACGAAGGTCTTAGGGGTGTGGAACGACATGAGGGTGAGTAATTAATGACAGAATTGTAATTTTTGGGTGAACTAACCCTTTAACTAATGTTTTCAAAAGTAGTTTATGTATCTTTATCTATAGCTTAAAATGTATTATAGCTTTATTTTAGTTTATTTATAGAATTTATAGAACTAATTAGCACCTGGACAATCAATGCTCTGAAGATGATGAATATCCTCTCTGACTTTTTTAATGTATGTTTTGCTAGGATCATTTTTGGAGTCATTCCAAATCTACAAAGCCATTTTCCACTGGAAGAATATAATAATGTTATCATCATTCAATCTCTAGTGAATAAAATGACTAAAACAGTAAATAACAGCATTTCATCAGAGAGAAAGATTAGATGGAATAACACACAGACTTGCACATGTGTACACATGCAGGGCCCACGCGCATTAGAGCTCAAGTTATTTCTGTGAACTCTTCCCTTTGGGTGGCTTTAATGGTGTGCTGTATGGGAAAATGGGCCTTTAGGAAACTTAAAAACCCTGTAGGTCTGGATCACATTCCAGCTCTCGCTGTGTCTGTGCCTGTCTAATACTGCTACACTCTCCAGAACCTCATGTTATCTTCACACATATACAGCACTGTCCCAGAGGGAAAAAAATTACTACTCAAGAGTTTGCTCAAAAGATACAATGGAGTTTGGATTTGTGTCATATACGTATCATCTTACAATTCATCTGGAGGTATAAAATTCGACAAATGAGATAACTTGATATACAGGAATTTAGACCTATAAAATTATAAAATGATAAGATGATTTGACCTTTATTTGAAGAAATGATTGATTAATATTTTCAGTATAGTACTTATTACAGAAATAATTTACTGTGCGATGTGAATATAATGTTTTTGGACACTTACTTGCATTTTATTTACAATTAAATGAAAATGTATTATAGTTTAAATTTGTATGAAATACAATTAATTGAACTCAACAGTTTTTTTTTTTGTTGCTTTTTTGACCCGCTTAAGTAGGACTTTAATACATCTTTATGTCATTTCATATACTTCTGTTGCCTTATGAAATATGGTTAAAGTTTACTGCAAAATATACTGACAAGCATTTATGGTAAACTAAAACACAAAATTGCAACATGTTAATTGCAAATACACAAATATATGACAAACATTTCAACAGAAATTGTTTGAATTATTGCTGTCAAACGATTAACCGCGATTAATTGCATCAAAAATAAAAGTTTATGTATATTATGCATATATATATAAATATATAATATATTTACTGTAATATACAATTAACATATTTTCTTAAATATATGCATGTGTGTGTTTATACATACACACACATGTATTATGCAAACAATAACTTTTATTTTGGATGTGATTAATCACGATTTGACAGCACTACCATAAATGCTTGTCAGTACATTTAGCAGAGCACTTTAACCATATTTCAAAGACAATAGAAGTAATTATGAAGTTACATATAAGGATGACTTAAGTCCTGCTTAGGTGGGTCAAAATGCATTTTATGTAAATGTACAGTTTTCATTTTTAACATGTAAGTGTCTGAAAACATTACATTCAGTTTGCACTTAAGTATTTTATTTCTGTATTTTAAAAGGATTCTTAAAGTGTTCTTCTTTTTTTTACAATGGTATCCCTTGTGATTTCAGGAGTGTAGTATTTGTCTGGTTAGTTGTTCATAGCAGCCACAATGAGGTGGACCACCCTTATGTAGAACCTTATGTAGAATATTTTCTAGACCACTGATATGACCGGGGTCTTCGTCTTTAAATGTAAACTGTTTTGACAGTGGAAAAAGTTAATCTCCACAGAGATCTCATTTGTGTGTTTTTTTTTTTTTACAATGGGGTCCCAATGCAGGCCACTGGGTGGAGCACTGCTCTCCAACACACACATACACAGTGTGCAGGGGGAGTGTCAGTGGGTAAGAGGAAGGCAGCTGGCACGCAGCTGATTTGTCTGGAGGGTTTCACAGGAAAGTGTGGCATTCACGACCCAGCGCTCATGTAGTACAGACCGTCCACAGCCTGCTTGCCAGCATCTGCTGCTCTGGCCAGATCCCAAACACACTCAGAGAGAGAAAGAGAGAGAGGAGAGCAGATGTGGTGAGTGTGACAGAGGAGGGAACAGTTAGGTGAACTCTAAAGGGGAATCCTGCGAGCAGAAAGAAAAAGGCAAGTAAGGACACAGAACGTTCCACTGCTTGTATCCTTTCACATTCCACGCTAGTTTCCCACATTCTCAAGCTTTTAAACATGGAAGTGATTGAAGACCACCATCTGCACCTGGAGGTGCCTGACATGCACAAATCCCTTACTGAGATCTCAGAAGATGAAATCAACCTCCCAGCCTCTGATGATGAAGATGAGGCCATCGCCGAGAACAAAGCAAAAGCCGCTGATGAGAAAGAAGAGGCAGGTGAGGGAGACAAAGGTGAGATGAATGGAGTCATGGTCCTGGCACTGCTGGACAAAATCATTGGGGCCGTGGACCAGATCCAGCAGACTCAGGCTGGGCTGGAAGCCCGTCAGCGGGAGATGGAGAGATCAGTGACGGGCATCCAGGGGGAACTCACAAAACTGTCTAAGAGCCACACCACCACAGCCAACACGGTCAATAAGATGCTGGAGAAGGTGCGGAAAGTCAGTGTGAATGTGAAGACGGTGCGAGGGAGCCTGGAAAAACAGGCCGGGCAGATCAAACGCCTGGAGAGCAACGAGAACGAACTTCTGAAGAGAAGAAACTTCAAAGTCATGATCTACCAGGTGAGGAGTGTGCACACAGAGGACAGTTAGGATTGCTTAGAGGTTGATCAGGTTTCATAGCTAGGTTACGTTTGATTTAAATATTAACTTTGTCTCAGATGCTTCTCTTGAAATTCTTGAAAAATGGACACAACTGAGACAACTGTTGACATGCAGTAAGAGTATCTATAAAATGAATGTACTATGTAGTTGGAATAGCTCAGATCTTGGAGGAACTTGATAAGAAACATTCCTTACTTCACAATGATTTCACTTCTGACAGCAGATTTCAGTTTCTTGGTAAATCGGAGCAAAGGTTGAGATATCTTCTCAAACCCAAGATTAGATGCAAGATTTCTGGATCTTTTTTCTCAGGAAAAACAAAGCAAAAGTTTCCATATGCTCTTCATTTATTGTAATTGGCGTCCAGAAGAAACGTTTGAGGTATTGCAAAGAGATCTTGTTTTTTTTTTCCGTTCCTTTCATAAATTACAAAGATATTTTGTAAAAGAATGTGTTTTGTAAAGGTGATTTGCAATATAAAATCTGCAGGGTGCATCACATGTCACAGCCATAGTTGGTAGGGTGTGGCCTTGGTAAAATTAATACATCTTACCATTAAAAAAAGTCAAAGTACGCACATCCAAAGTGTCTTGACCAGGTGCAAAATAAAAAATTCATCAAATCATACAAAAAAGATCTGCAGACTTGATCTGCCTTTATTTAGAAAAAGTTAATGTAAGACATGTGCGCCTGATGAAGGTCTTTGACCGAAACGTTACCATTTTTAACTGTTTCTAAATAAAGGGAGAATAACAGTGTGCAGATCTTTTTTCTTTTTTTGTATTCTTTTACATATTACAATTAATAAATATAAGCATGTATAGTGGCTCTTAAAAAGTGTTTCCTTACTTAAAATTGAATGTCACTGCATTACATAACAAAGCATCAAAGCACAATTTTCAAGTGCAACATTTAACAAAAATAAATTTGAGTTCAAAATATCACACATACTGTACGTTTACAGACATTTCCTTCAACACAAAAACTCAACACAATGCAATGCATAATTCAAAATATGGGTAAAACACCTATGTAATGTTCCTTCATATTGACACATTGAGCCCCATTCTTAGTAAACTTACGTGTAGAATTAAGATTAAGATGTTTGGATCCTTTTAACC